TCATACATTCATTAGGACATGCTAATAATTAATACCGTATTATTCTTTTATATACTTTACAAATAAAATATTCGAAACAAACCAGAACATAATCCATTTGACAAATATGTTCCAACTTGGCATGAAGAACAACGAATTGTTGTACATGGACTACACCAACTATAACCACTATAAACAACAATACCATAATTTCTTTCACAAGTAATACAAGAATCAGGACCAGAACACGAACTACAACCAATAGGACATTCTACAGATTAATTTTTATTTTTGAAAATTTGATGTTTCCAAAGTTTGATTCCAAAAAATAAGAAACAAACGATAACACATTCCATTGTCTAAATAATATCCTTTAGAACATGATGAACACTGTGTTGGTGATGAACATTCAAAACATCCAGTTGGACACTTTTCACATAAACTTACTTCAAATGAATACTTTCTTAACCAATATCCAGAATTACATTTTGTACAATGATATTCTTCATCACATGCTTCACATCCTCTTTTACATTCTATTGAAATCAATAACAGTCACTAACTAATCAATATTAAAGATTAAAAGACAAACTATAACAATATGAACAAAAAGTATTATCCTTCCATGAACCATAATTACATCCATGGGTACATGAATAACACAACCCCCATAAACAATAAGGACATTCATCATAATATTAACTGTATATATGAATAATGAATAAAACAATCAACCGTAATGTCTTCTCCATCCTTCAAAATGATTATTGATTAGAAGATGAATTGACAACCACAAATATCTCTCAAAAACAATAAAATCGGTATCTAATCCTTTTTACTTTTTTTCCAAAACTTCTTTATCTTCATAGAAGAAATGTATTAAAAATTATTTTCACTCTTAAAGACAAATAAATTTCACAAAATAATCTGTTTCTTTTTTATGGTTTTTTAAATAAAAATAACCAGTCACCTTCTTTAATCTTCTTGGATATTCCTATTTTTAATTTTAAAAAATCTTATTCCTTGACTGTTGCCAAAAGGATAAACGAAAAATACTTAAAGAGTACTGATTTTGAACAACCAAAAGCCAATTTGCTGTGTGAAACAAAAACAAATTCAAAACGGCAAATCTCTAAATTGTTCCGTTCCTTTTTGTATTAAATACAAATTGATAAAATGTATAAAGACCAATAATTATAAAAAAACTAACTAAAATTGATAATAATAACAAAATAATATTATTGATGTTTAAATAATATAAATCTTAGTTCTAAAACATTGTTGAGATATACCATATTAGTGCATTTAATTTCATTTGATGGAACGTTATTTGATTCATTTAAATAGTTAGTGTACAACGTATGCAAGTGATTTGATTGTAAACCAACTTTGAATTGAATTTCAGGAGAAACAGCATTAAAATAATTCATTAAAATACCATAAGATGGTGAAATAAAATCATTAATTTCAAAGGAAAATAGTGAAGGAAAAGGAGAGTTAGTCCAATCAATATCGTTTGTGTTTAATTGGTGATTAAGTGTACCTTGAATGATTTCGATTTGAGTTGAAGGTTGTAGTGTTAATCTTGTGTGTTTCATGAATGAACGAAATAAATGAAAGAAGACAAGACCTCCTTTAATTTTCTCTGGAGTTATTTTCTTGATGGCATTAGTGTATTGTTTAATAAATTTCAAGACATCAACACTTGATTTAGAAGCATTAGCAATTGAAGATAATAACGTCATTAAAGAAAACCATTGAGATAAATACATACTATAGAGTTTATTT